CGAAATATTTTCATCAACCTTCGATAAGTCTAAGTATATCAATAATGGGTTACCTCATTCGATTGAAAATTATAACAATTCAGAAAGTATTATAACGTTTGGTATGTTAATTATATCTCAATGAGAATTGGAATCAATTTAAAATTTCAATTGTTGTTTCACATAACGCAAGATAAAACTATTTAGTAATATCAGGGACTAAATAAAATAAAAACACAAGCATTAATCATTCGCGAATTCATGTGCAAAATTGTTCTACATATATTTAAATGACGTAACATTAAAAAGCAGGATATTTTTTCTCTTTGAAATTACTATTTAATTTATCATACAAATATAATTTCGTTGCAGAAGCAGATTGATAAATTACAATGAAGGAATTGATGAAAGCACAGAGGATCTTGAACTTAATTAATCAGAGCGCACCTTTGAAATTCAAAATTTAACACGGTGCATTAAGTTTTACTTCGAAGTTATATTTAGTAAATTAAGCAACAAATTAGCATTGATGATCAATGTTGTTTGGTCATTTAAACTTGCAATCCATAAGATTTTATACTTGATTTTTTTTTTAAATGTTTGACTAATTTTTCATAGCAGGCAAGAAAAGCATACATAAAATAAATTTAAAACAATTACTGCAGATTTACAATTTATTATTTTAATAATTTGGCACTATTAAATAAAGTAAAGCATTCCCGCAAGATCCAGAGGGGTCATTGAGGTTAAGACTATTATATATGATATTATAATATAAATCATAATTATAGTATCTAATAAAATTCCTCCAATGTCAAAAAAGAAACTTGCCCCAGGTTTCTGATATTTTTTGACAGATTTCGACAGTTTATGACTTTTTTCGACTGGTTTATGACGTGTCATGACAAAAACCAGGTTTTGACGTCAAAAATCCAACCCTAAAAATTATCGGCATGATTTTTAATAACGACACGCTTAAAAATTCACATTTGACTAAAATGAATTGAGTTGGTATGTGGAATGTTAAAGAAATCTGAAATAAAGAATTGTTTTTAATAAATGTGTGAGAACATTCTCGGCGTTATATAAAATTTAAAAAAAAATAGATAAAGAAAAATTTTAATAACTAAATTACAATTTAAATTTTTTTTGCACTGAAGTTATACAGATATGCATTATTTTATTCCATTCTAAATTATAGAAAAGTAACCAAGAAACATAAATCAATTCAGTTTGTGAAAGAGGCGGGCGTGAAAAAAAGTCATTGCTTTCTTCTTAAAAACACGACTAAACGTGTCTATTGAACAAAGAAATAATAGCTTCCTCATAACCAGAGTCACGATATCTTTTTACCCTGAAAAATCCCAGAAGCCGCGATCTACAACGGCAGACAGCCCCCGATGTCAACACAAAGCCAGCAGCAGTTTTTGGTAATTAACATACAGCAAACTAACGTGTTTAGAATTAATAGAACGAATGATATTAATTAAAACTGATGAAGTGACTTCTCGTGTTTGAAACTGAAAAAAAAAGTATAAAATATTATCTTTCAAAACTACGTTTCTAGAATAATTATTTTATTATCTTTCTTTTAAAAGAGATATGTAGAAAATCCTGTTTGTAAAATGAGATAAATGAAATGAAGACGAACTGGAAGATAAAAAAAAAAGCACCGAACATATTTTTACATTCCTTCCCCATTGACATACTGAAGGAAGCATGCCATCAACCAGCGGTTCCACAACTTGTGGAGCGCTTATCAGCACTCCTCGAATGTGGTACGAGAATCAGTACTGAGTATCAATACTGAGAAGTATCACAAGGAAAGCCAGCAATAAAGAAAAAAATCGAAACTTTTTAATCTTTTTTAGAAAAAAACTCCACTTATAGCTTAATTGTTCTTTAATTAAACTCAATATATTTTTTTTTTAAAAAATAGCTTTGTAGAATCATGAAGATAAAGCTATTTCCCACAAGAGTTTAAGGCTGTTTTTTGAAGCCTCTGTAATCACAAGAATTAATACTTTTAGTAAATAATATGCCTTTTTTATAACTGTTCGTAAAAGTTGTGCATGGCTGTTAGGCTTAGTTGTACCTAATTTTAGAAAGCGCTATTGTTGCTAATTATGAAAATGGTGCAAAATGTTTATAGGAAGAAAAGCCCCTGTTTTTTACCATTTAAAAAGTTACACCAACGCTACGATGTCTGGGTTCATAAAAGTTTGAAAAAAAAATGAAAGGTATTAGTTGATTTCAATAATTTTTATCTAAATAGAAAAATCTAGCCTAATTGGCGAATTTTAAAAAAAAAATTTTATAATTTTAAATATTTACTCTATTTGTCCGCTCTAAAGCTCAGGTTATTTTTTACGTATCATCATATAAAACGTAAGTTGCTCTAACTGAAAGAATACTTAAATGATTTTTTTCTCCTTATAATTGACATTTTCCTCCGAGTTAACAAAATTGTAAAATACAAAAATAGCATTGAGCATATTACTTGATGTATTCTTAATATTTAAAAAAATATTAATCTGTAATATGCAAATTAACTAGAGCGATCCGGTAAAGTGAGTAATATAGAATTTTCCGCACATTAACAGCTTCCGTATAATAAAGTTAAAAAATTTGTAAAATGCTTTCGTAATAGTATATAATTTTGATTCTTTAGGTACTGAAAAATAAATAAATAACATTTATTAATTTTCTTAATTGAAACACACCAGTAATATTTTAAAGAGTTTGATACTTTGTATTTGATGTGTTAATTGATACATGATTGATTCTATCAATTAATTTGATGGTTGTATTCACTTGAATTTTTAGACATCAAAAAATTAATAAATAAGATTATGCTAATTTAAGCACACAGAAACGTTGTTGTTGTTGTTTCAGCAAAGATCTTACTTTCACCTTAACGAGTGCCTAGTAGGTAATATACAGATTAACGAGTGCCTTCCTTGTAGGTGAAATGCAAATTAATGAGTGCCTTGTAGGTAATATGCAGATTAACGAGTGCCTTCCTAGTAGGTGAAATGCAGATTAATGAGTGCCTTCTAGGTAATATGCAGATTAACGAGTGCCTTCCTTATAGGTAATATGCAGATTAATGAGCGCCTTGCAGGTAATATGTAGATTGACGAGTGTCTTGTATGTAATATACAGATTAACGAGTTCCATGTGGGTAATATGCAGATTATCTAGGTAATTTACGGATTACCTAAATAAATTGAGAATTGAAACAATTTTCAGCACTTTAACGGATTATCCTGGTAAATCTGCACATTACCTAGATATTCTGTATAATAAAAAACTCGGTAATATATGAAAAAATATTCAATAAACAAACACATCGACCCAATAAAATTCTAAATCGACTACTTAAGCTATCTTCGGCGAATTATTGCGTTTGTAAAACGGGAACTATTAAACGCTTACATTACAGCTATTTATGAGTGGAAGTATTTAAACGTGGTGAATGCAGAATACACATTTCGAACAATACACAGTTATTTGTTTAGATACAAAACCTATCAATCAACAACTTTCCCCATCACATCAATAAATAAAGGTATTTATAGAGCAATACTTATGTGAGGTATTCGACCTGGCTGCCATAAATATTTCATTCTTGGTCCTTACCTTCCTTCAATATAAATTTTATACCATCATTAGCAGGCCAACCACGCAAAGAGGATGTAGTGAAACAATTGCTTTTTTTGATGGGTTGTTAGTGATAAGCGTTTCAGTTAAATTTGTTTATGACAGAGAACAACATTTTATTTTCGTACCCTTTGCACTTGAAGCTACTTTTTACAGTTACGTTATTGCAATGCTGTAATTATTCATTTGCTTATTTGTCAAGCATGATTCATTTGGAAAAAAAAGGTTAAACGCTTAAGTACATTCTAATTTTTACCATGTAATACATAACGTGGCGAATAAATGCTAAAGGTGAAATTTTCTTAATTATTTTCACTCCTGAGCTCTGCGTAAAAAAATTTCAGTTTATTAGTTATTCCTTTATATCTGACAAAACTTTTTAGGCCTTGCTTTTTAATTTCTGTTTTGTCTTTCGTGTCAATGGCTGATCGCCTTTTTTACTATGATTTATCTGTTTTGGTGTGGTCCCACTTTGCCGTATTCATTTTATTTTTACAATATTTTATTTTATAATCGACATTGAACAGCCGACTAAATTCTAAAATTACTGCTACCAATATTCAATTCCGTAGCCTTGTAATTTTGATCCCAATCCAGGCAAAGGAACTCATGTGTCAAGTATTAGACGGAATTTGCCTTCGTGGAGGACTTTCTTTATTGAACTAACCTGTATTTGCTTTAAATGGGGAGGACCACCACGAAAGCCTCTCACAATTAGCCTGACTACAAGAGGACTCTAAGCTATGATCCGTTTGCCACTGAAGATATTTACGCCAGTACTGTGATCGGTGCGAGTTCGGAACGGAATTCGTATCGGCCAGTCATCGCTGGGATGGGATTCAATCCGGGTTACCTCATTAGGAGTCAATCTCCTGAGCTACCACGGCTCATTGCCGTATTCATTACTTTCAACAGGTTTTCTGAGTTCTGGTATAATGTTGGTTCTTCTGCTATATATAGTTCTTTCATCGTAAGAAGAGAATTGGTGGCCAAATCACGGAACGTGTCCATTAGTTAAAAAATAAGTGATACACAAAAACTGAAATTAAAGGAAGGGGAAGACTCATGCCAATGTTGATGCTTCAGTACTATCAAAATAAACTCTCAGAAGGTTAGTCACTTTCTTACTGTGTACGGACAATACAATTTATATGTTAAGCTATTTTCAACACCAGAAAAGAAAAGAAAAATGAGCAAACATTGCCGCTTCCAGAAATACAACTGAGATTCTATACAGCAATGGAAATATATTGGATAGAAGCTTGCTAATTAATGCATAATCTTTCAATAAACATTTTTATTCGAATAATTATGGAACCTTTGAGCGGTTTTAATGACATATAAAAATTATCACTTACCCGTGGCCAATTTATGAGCATAGTCAGCATTTTCCATTATGTAATCCAATCCTACACGAGAATCCATCACTAGTCTCAAACATTGACCACACTCCACCTTTAACTGTATTTCTTCTAAATTTCGCCCTTGAAGAGATTTCAAAGTCTCAAGGAGGGATTCTACACCGTTTTCTTTCACGAATTCCCGAGCCCAACTTGGATCCTTTAAATGTTTTTTGAGTTCGATGTAGAGTGTAGGTGATGGAGTCCGTAGTTGAGAGACCAATTCAGAAGGGTTACGCAAACCTCCTGGTGGTCGGAATACAGATCGCAGCACACTCCAATTTTCAGCAGTTCTTGTACGGCTGATGATGTCTTTGTCGTCATCATGAACAATGACGTTCAGGTGTAGTCGATTTTCTAACAAAAATAAAAGACATATTAACAAATAATTTGGAGCATTGAATAAACAGTCAAAGATACTTGGAATTACAGTCAAAGATGCTTGGAATTATTCCACAACACAGCGAAAAATCTGGATCAAATTCCGATAAGGAGTATACCGACACTCAGGGTTCCAGCACTTTTGCCATAAAATCCATTTTTACCGGGGCATGTTACGGAACAAAAAATCTGATACACCGTATGGTATAATATTTTACAATAATAATGAATTTTACAGATGAAGTACCCCAAGTGCTGGTAATTTGCATCGTAATTCTTTACAGAGTGTATTGTTTTTCAAATTTCAAGAAATTTTGAAACTGAAATCTTCTTAAAAATAAAATTAAAAATTTATCGCGATTAACATTGATTACTGTATATCTCTTGTATATGTCTCTATTTTAATACTCAACATCAAGATTAAATTGAAATTTTGACCTCTTGGATCTAACGAGTCATCATTGAGCTAAAAAATTACATTGACTGGTAACAGACCGAACAAGTACTATTAGTAATTGGTCAATTTAACATAAAAGATTTATTTTTTACCATCGCGTGTAAACGTTTTCGGATTAAGACATCATGGCTCAAACACACGGCTCACAGATTTACTATGTATATGACAAGCAGTTTATGAAGCTTCACTAATTAACTTTAAAAGTTGGTAACAGACCTAACAATGTAAAAAAATACTCAATTTTTGAAGATGAAAAAAATTTTGTAATCTTTATCTCAAGATTGCTTTCTAAAGTGATTATTTTCTTATATTTAATCCTGAAAGCAATATTAAAAAAGTGGTAGGATCATGAACTGCGCAATTTTAAAAATGATTATCTTTAGTAACAGATATGACAATAACAGATCTGACAGTAGCAGACCGGATACTTCTCAAGGATAACCACAAAACAAGTAAAATGCATCAGAAATTTTTCTAAAAAAAATTATCTTCTAGATTTGTTATAAAAAAAAAATTTTCCCAATACATTTGTGTCTTAAGTTATTTTACTTATTGGAAATTGGTAAAATATTTAAAAAAAATTTTGACGATCCCATTTTCTAGATTTGCTGTTTATCCCTGTGGCAGAATTGCGGCGACATTGTCGCAAAACGTTACAGAGTTTTTGCAGATAGATTTTAGTCCCATTCGTGTGATTTTGTCGTCTATCTTTATTTTGGAATTACTGCATGAATTTTACGATTTTTAATTTATGTACAAGTTTTAATTTACTATCATGTAATTTATTTATGAATTTAAGTTTTGTAATGATTTACAAAATTAGAAAGGGGAAATAATAAGGTCGTTTTTCCACCTGCAAAATGTGAGAAAGTGCCAATAATATTAGAATTAAAAAAAATATTACTTTTACAATTAAACTTTTCTCTACGTTTTTATTCTTTACTATCTTGCGTAAACACAACGTTTCTGTTACTTTTATTTAGTAATTGTTATAATTGAAATTATTTTAAAGAAAAATATATTATTAATGCTAGGGAAGTTTGTCGCAGAAAGCCCGAAAAAATTCAGCCACAGGGTTGTTTATTGACAATTTAAGGAAAATAAAGCTTTTGACGTACATAAGTTTTGATACATAAGTTTTAATCGTATGTATTTTGGGAAATCACAAGCATTTAAGTAAACAGACCGGAATACCACAATAAAAAATAAAAAAATTGTCGCACATCGAAAATGTCTCGAATTTGGAATCCAACCATATACGAAACCAAAAAGTTGGCAATTGAAAGTGTTTTTGAAATACAAACTATATACGATGTAACTTAGTTATATTTTTTTAATATCTTGAAAACAAACAAAAGCACATTCGCATATCCCAAGCAAGAATTGGTAACGTCTTAAATGCAAAAACGTAAGCTTTGATGAAGAATGGTTTTATAGCTGAGTCGAAGTAGACAAACAACTTTTTTCGTGGCATTATTTTATAAAAGAAGCTTAAACTATTTAATTATAACTAATAAACAAAAAGTAAATAATAATCACGAACTTTTGATCTATTTAATAAAGGGAAAACATTCACTAAAATCAGTCACAATACCCTACTTTTTACTTATTTATTTTTAAACAAAGAAAAATATTTTTACCTTTTTTGTTAAGAGGATTTTTTGACATACTTCCAAATTTATATAAAAAAAAATGTGATTGATCACAAAAGCGAGACTCAAAGTTCCTTTTCCAGCATGCTCCAAGCTCGGATAAGTTAAAACACTCTTGAGATAATGACTTATTATTAAGAAGAAGGAATAAAAAATAATACGATTTCAGCCATTGAACATTAATTCCACAAAATTAGAATCTATTGTAGACACAGTTGCCATTTATCAAAAGAGAAATCATGTCTATACCAGAGTTCTCTAGAAAACCCTGAATATATTTCTTTTTGGAATGGTTTGAGATACCATGAGCCTTATGGACGTTTCAAGGTTAATATCATCCTCGATGCTATGCCTCGTCTGCCAATCATTTCACAATCTGTAGGTTTTCCAAAAGATGGGATTAAACTTCGAATGCGTAGCGGTAATTTTCTTTTGCGGTTAAAAGGTAGTTGGGGAAACTATTCAATGTAATTTTAATTTGTTTGACATTAAAATAAAACATGTTATTATCATATTTCGAAGAAAAAAACGTTATTTTCATGGCAATCATATCCGTCAATAAATAACGGAATGTAATTAAGTTGCATTTTTATATTATTTGAGTTAGAGGAAAAAAAGGTACTTAAATACTTTGATTTGCAAAGTAGAAAGATTTATGAACGCAAAAAGCTTCCTTTTGCATGGCTTTTTGTGAAGTATTTCTTTTTGAGTTAAAAAAATTATTAATAAACGAATTATCAACAAAGAATGGGTTACAGAACAATTGAGAAGATAGAATGTTTATATTTATCAAGAGATGCTTTCGCAACCTAATGATAAACATCAGAATTTTAAAGAAAAATACTTTGATCCTATTGAAAATTTGTACAATGGAAAAATAACGCTGCATATCTTGAAAAGAATGCACTATTATCGACCAAAAATGTATTATTTCAATACATTTAAAAATCCCTTTTATAATAGAAATTTTGAAGCACGTTTCTCCGTTAACGCAGTGGTCCCAAACCCCGGACTGGTACTGGGCCGTGAATCAAATGACACCAGGCCACTAAAGGAACAATAACTTATTTCCATTTATTTGCTGTTGTGTATTTCTCTCGTGTTTGAGCGACTTTCTATGGACGAGAGGTTAACTGGGAAATAAGAGACGTCACCTAAAGCCGTGCAAAAACCGCGCATGTAACTGTAATTTACTGTGAAAACATGTTTAAATACAATAAAATTAAAATTATTAAATCAAATTCATCTAAAGCATAAACAATCAACGCAACCCTCCCCCTCAGCGGGCCACGGCTAAAAAATTGGGGAATACTGCTATAACGCATCGTGGCTTACTCGAAAATATATTACAAAGTACAATGTTAATCTTTGCAATTTATGAGCGATGGGCCTGGATAGCCTGGTTGGTAGGGTGCTTGAGTTGTGATCGTGAGAACGGGAGTTCGAATTCAGCATGCTGAAGAATCCCCGTGTATTAAATAGTTCCCATACAAAATGGTTCTCCAAGTTCCCATAACATATTAATACCTCTGGAAGTACTGATCCAGGAGTTCCCTTGTCATCTGGATTGGGTTCAAAAGTACAAGGCTACGGAGTTGAACATTGGTAGGCGTAAACTGAAATTTGGGTCGGCTGTTCAACGATGGTTATAAAATGCAAAAAATAAAATTAATGAGCGATATCATGGTTAGAAATTTTGAAAATTGAACTATAATTGTCATTCTATGATTTTTACAACAGTAATATACTGCCAAGTTGAATTGATGATCAAAAACATAGTTCAATGTATCACCTTGTTTCGTTTGCAACAAATTGGCCCCCGGATATTATGATTCAGGGTACTAATATTAAAGTAGTACCACTTTTCTGAGAGTGTACTAAAAAGTAAAATGAATAACAATATCAGTTTTAAGAACCATTAAGATTATCGAAGGAAACAGTTTGACATCCTATTGTAGTTCAGTGCTTAAAACACTAGACACATTTTAATGGAAATGTCAGGACAACTTCTAATTTCAACGCCGAATGTTTAATTCTCGAAAAAAATTGATGACTACTGGTTTTATCATTGCAGAATAGAGTGACTCCAAATATATCGGTTGTTAGTTTATAATGCTTTTTATTCTTTGTATCAAAAAGAAAATCATTGCAAAGAACTGGCACACGATTTAGTTTTGATATTGTCTTAATTTTGTCTTAATTAGTTGGCTATAAAGAATTGTTATATAACAGTAAACAAGTAACTTTCCTGATGCAAAGTTTTTTAGAAGATAATTTAATAAAAATGGCATTTAATGTCTCCCAGAAGTCTCTGTAGAATCGGTTAGTTAATGATATCGGTACCATATATCAAAATACGGTGCAGATTTGCATCAACCTTAAAAATGTGTGAAAGGAAACTATTTGATTTCAAAAATGGGCACTCAAGTTTAAACTGTTCGATAACATGGTTCAGCATATAAACGTTGTAGAAAATTTCAACGAGTTCCAAAAATTCTAATAGTGCCGTGTTGAGAAAACTGCAATATTTTCTATAACGGATTTGATAAAATTAGCTTTCAGACATTATATAATTTTCCAGTTTGCAGTATTTCTTTTTTTACTAGCTTGTAATATTTCTAAAATTTAAAAAAAGAAGTATAAATTGTTAATTTAAAAAAAACTATCAATGCGGAAAAGAACACAAGTTTCTGAAATATTCCATAATTTCCATTATAATCCACTTGAATTTACGAAATTTTAAGTCTGCAATCAAATTAAGAGAAGAAAATAGTATTTATACACTACGGTCAAAAATTGTTTCAAAAACAAACTTGCTATTAATAATAATAATAAAAAAGACTTAATTATTAATTTAACTATAATTG